TCAAGGAGTGGGGGAAGCACCGAGAAGCCACCGCCAGGGGAGATGCCGTGATTCAGGCGAGGGGGGCGGGGAAGACGCCGGAGCAGAAGAAGACAGCCGAGGCGAAGGCGCTTGCGGCTGCGCAGGAAGTGCGCAAGAAGTCGATGGCAGCGACCAGGGAAGCCTTCAACACGTGAACGAGCACGAGAGCCTCCCGGGAGGAGCAGCTACGGCTGTGGATTTTGCGCAACACGATGAATTTTTTGAGGAAATGGTTGGGCGGGCACGCTCAGGCGTGAGTGGGGAGGGTACGTATCTATATGTCGCGGTGTGTTGTAGTGTTGGTTTCTCGCGTTTAGGCGCGGTAGAGGCGTTCGTCATGGTCACCAACTCAACGCTATAGCTGTCTCTCTTGGTATCGGACTTGCTTAGAGAGAACGGATGTGATTGCTGCATGCTTTATTTGCAGCACCTTCACCAGCCTGGGGTTGAGTAGAAAGTAAACGGCGGTATTGTATGTATGTATGTACATATGTAACGTGTAAATAATGTAAATATGGATTGACAACGGTTTAACTGATGTTCTGAAGGCATATACGTGTAGAAGGGAGGGGTTGAGGGGGGGTCGTGGTGTACTTTTGGGCTCCGTGGGGTCATGAGGGGGTGGGGGGGTGGAGCTCCGTGGGTCATTTTGGTCAAAAATGTCGCATTTCACCCAATCACCAAAAACTCATCGGATATCGAAGAAGCTCGACGCCGCGGTCACGCCCAAAGTTGTTTCACTTTCCAAATCGTTTTTTTTCGAAAGATATCGCGAAAAACAAGATTGTGAATATTTGCCCGAACGGACCATACAACTGCTGATCACGTGGCTATGATCTCGCTCCACCATACTTCATTGCGCTCCACAAAGGTTTGTCGCCTAATACAGTGGAACCGATTGTCCCGCAGATTTCAGTTGACCTGCCATAACTTCCATCAATAATATCAATAATGAGTTTTTTTTTGTTTTTTTTGGTATTGATCTCCATCGCAAATGCCACAAGAGTTGTTAAGGGACCAAATTGATTTGAGACGTTCCTGAGAATTCGTGGTTTTCGTATAGGTTTATTCAGGCGTTTTCGGGAGGGAGGGGATGAAACGTTTCGTCCAGTATCTCGATAATCACTATCGTAATCATGCCGGTTTTTTTTTGTTTCTCGGTTGATATCGGCGAGGTTTGAGCAGGCGAACGCGATGGCGCCCTCAAAAAAAAAAAAAACACTCTTAACCAGTAGATGTACGCATTTGGAGGGGGGCACAAGAGATTGTACCCCCCTTTTCTGGTCGCAAAACTTATCGTTCAACGCTTGATATTTCGTTGTTTTCGCTTCATCGTTGGAAAACCCTGTTGGGAAAACCCTGTATTTACACTCGACGACACTCCCTCGCACTAATTTTTACATTTGCCAAAAACTAGTCTCCTACATACAGTACATCACGCCCAATACTACCGATCTTATCGACCGGGAGGGAAACGCAGCCGTTCGAAAAAAACACGGACAACAAACTTCGTGGACAAACCGAAACCGATAGAAGCAACCATTTAGGTCAACTTAGAACCACGCCTAGTCAGGGCTTCCCTGATGGCCGCATGGGCCTCAGGGCGAAGCATGGAGGTCATGGGCGTGCAGTGCGTGCACCGCTAGCTTGTTTTGTTTCCAGCCGTTGGGGCTGATGTGGGCAATTTTTTGAAAAATCTTGTTTCTGATTTTTTGCGGCATGTTATCAAAAAGGTTCGAAAATGGAACCAACGCCATTAATTAGAACAGAAAGAGAGCGTCAATTATCTGCAACTTTTTTCGGTGGGTTCGCCGTAGTTGTCGAGATATGGAGGATTCAGTGGAGTAAAGTACCTTCGCTGGCGATGGTACTAGCTCCATAACTCTTGATCCAGAGCGAACCCACCGCTTTTGAACGGCTTATTCGAAAGCTACTGGCGAGAGCTTTCCAACGCACATTTGTTTGTCGCCCATTTCTGTTGACAACCCGTTAAAAAAAATCACCCCGCCCCAAAAATGTGGGACAATCGGTTCCACTGTATGTTGATTATTTATCACACCCAAGACGAAAAGCACACGGAGCAGCAAGACACGCCCTTTGGCACCACTTGTGTACCATTTCCGTGTGCCTCTCGCCAGTCCACGGGACTACGGTGCACCCTTAAGTATCTTGACACGTAGATCAGCTCGCAGGTCCTGGGAGCTCGCGAAGCCTGGATGAATGTGGATCAAACACTAACTGTACCTCGCCAAGGTCCCCGTCGAACCTGTTCTTCTTTACTTCCAGCGACTTGTTGCCTTTATGATTCTGACGGTACACACGTTTCAACACACGAAACAGCGGATTCGGATGGGGCATGTTCGAAGGCAAACAATGGTGGAGTTGGTTACATCATTACCGGATGACACGGGAGGCAACGTTCACACATGCACAATTGAAAAGGGATTCCTCGACAAACCCGTACGCTTGTCAATACAGTGCACAATAAAATCTTGTAGCATACAACCAAGAATGATCATATAGCTTGTGCACCCTCACGTCATGGAGGCTTCCATCAAGGTGATGGTTGGAGGCGAGCAAGGCCGGACCACAGGCAGATTCTAGGCGTCGACCTCAGATTTGACAATGCAGCAATCATAGCCAGTTGAAAACAGCGCCAGTAGCAGGTGGGTTCGGAAATACGGACGTCCTAGTACCCAGTCCCTCCACAAAAAAAAAAATGCCGAAAAAACGTTTGTCAGCCATTGGTCGAGGCTACAGTCCCTCCAAGGAATCTGAGCTCCTTGCCAGACAAACGGTGACTTGGCTTCAGGATGAAAAGTGTCCCCAAAACGTGGGGATACTTTTCATCCTGAAGCCAAGTCAGCAAATTTTTCCAGTACCAGGCAATGGACAGTTTTGCGAACTGGGGGGCACGCGGGTTGGGAGATGTGCACAGAAAGTCAGAGGCCCAGGGGAGGCATCACACAGCATATCACACAGCGTACCACCTCAGCCAAGCATGATAGGCCAAGGGTGCTCACGTACGTTGCATACAGCGGAGCCTAGGTTGACTACAGCAGTGCGGTACATATACCTTTGAGTGCTGTGTCCCAAAGTGTCCCCAAATCGTCCCCAACAAAACTTCCAGTACTGAATTTGGGAGGTTTAAGCCCACCTGTAAGATTACGACCAAGTCCGCTTCTTGGGTAGCCTTCGCCGAGCCAAAAATGGAGCTTGTGGTGAGCTTGTATCCTTCGTCCTCTTTCCGGGGGTGTATCACTAGCGTGATGTGGACGTTGTGTTCGGTAGCAAATTTTCGGAATTTGTCCAGAGCAAGATCCTGCACAGACCGGTAGAAGACATAGATAACTCGAAATTGGACGGAATGCATGGGTCGCTGCAGCAGCGCACATGCACTTGTGCTTGAAGTACACAAAACTTCGTGCTCAACATCGAGGAAGTGGAAGCGGCGAAACCTAGACTCTGTCTCGACAACGTACCATTGAAGAAATCGAAATACCACGTCCCACGTTTAACTCAGAATGACGGGGAGCACGTCATCTTCTCGAGTCTCTCAGCTGACGCATGTTGACCTTCGACGCGCATTCCTCATTCCACACCCGAACACCACGTACCCATACTGAGGTTGGTCGGTTTACTGCACCTGTGCGTCGAACTTGTCGAAAGGTCCTGGTCGTTTACCACCATGTCCCTCTCGGGAATATCGAGTAAGCATGAACTGCAGATTGTCAAGGATAATGTGTTGAACGTCGTTTGCGTAGACAGCGTAGTCCATCGCGTCTAAAACTTCGTCCACATCCGTTCCACCGTGGAAACGCAAGAAGCTTAGTGGAAGAGCCTGAAAGCGGTCCGCCACTGCGCTCAGCGATTCTGGTGACCTGTAAATGGACAAGGCGTAAGGACCAAGCGGGCACGAGCGCGTTCGAACATGGAGTGACAAAAAGGGCCTGCCGTGGGAGAGCTGAATGATGCTGCCTGGGCAGACCGTGGGCAACCAAGAGATGAACACGCCTCCGACAAATGAACATCCGAGGCAATTTGTCTCACCCAGCGAGATCTGCAACAGGTCTCCCCGCGAACTGGTGAAGCATCTTCTGCATCAATCTCGTGTTCTTGATCTCGAAGCTGCCCCACAACGTGCTAAGCCCTCCTGCCGCTAGATCAAGCGAAAGCTGGCTGAGAATCGTTGTCTTCCCGGAGCCAGTGGGGCCAGTGAGGACAGTGAGCTCCCCACGCCGAAGCCCCTTGATGATTCTGGTGAACCGCGGGAAGGACTGCAGACCTGTCCCACTATACTCCAGAGGATTCTGCAAATGAAGGCCAACACGCGAGTGCTCTTGAGCGATATGACCCAAAACGAGTGAGGGGTAGCGAGTCATGCATGTACTTTGAAGTTGTTCAAATCTTGTCTAGAAGAGCATGCTGTTAGCGGCTCCATTCGAGTCTGGGTATTTCCAGCATCGCCGGTACATTATAGCAATACCTGTAGCTCGTGAATGACACTCTGGCGAAGGTCTTGGAAGGTCTGGATGTCATCATGCTTTGTGGAGCTCGCTCCTGCCACAACAAAGCGCACGTGGAATTGGGGTGAGCACGCACGCACACGCTGCAGTAAACGCATGCCAGAAGCATCCCTTGGAGCGTCGTGCGACTACTGTTGTGGCATATTTAGCTACGGTCAACAGCCCAACCATTACGCAGGCTCAGAGGGCAAATCGCTCGAAAGGGGCAAACGTGACGATGAAGTTGCTGCCGACCAATCTCACCGGGCGTGGCCAGGCAGCTGGTGCAAAACGAGAGAGCACGAATGTAACGCATGCGTTGGCGAAAGGTTCGCTACAATCATTGTTCGTCCTCTGCCGGAACCACAAAACACAAACAGTTCGAGTAGCTTGATCTGGGGAAGGAGACTGGTTCCCATGTCGAACATGGAATCCGAAACTCGATTATTTTACTCAACCTTGGGTATAACCTTCAGTAAGTACTTCAAAAATACTCATCGATGCTCGGGAGGATGAGTAAGTATTTCAAATATACTCATCATGCGTACTCAGGCATTTGAGTAAGTACGTCATATCCTCGCCGTTACTCAACCATGCCCGGTCTCCGGAGTACTCCGAGGCATGTTCAGCAGTGCTCAATTTTCCCCAAGTACCTCACTCGGCGTACCCAACTTTTTTACAGCATACGGAGATCTCGTACTTGGGTGGCACCGAAATCACAACCAACCAATACAGCTGTGTGTATCTCTAGCTGCGTTGCAGTGTGCGGAGGGGTCTTGGATGGACGTCAGGGCGGGTGAATGGAAACCGTTTCTTGCATTCTTGCTGCGAACAAAGAACAGCGTGGTAACTTTCATGTTCATCTCGCTGACCGACGAACGTCAGCAGCTACCGCTGTGTGTACGCGATATTTTCCTCGGCTATGCGGTGCTCATACTTCAGAACAGTAGGACCCGAAATGCAGGTGCAATCACTCCAAATTCACATCGCTTCTACCACCGCCCGTGCGTGCACCTCGCTCTACTCGCGAGTGATGATGTGCCGCAGCAGCAGTGTGTGGTGTGCGGCGGTGGTGCATGCAAGCCCCGCAGAAAGTGTCTCGCACCTCTGACGTCATCATTAGTCATCTTCTAGTCTTGGGGGATATGACCGGACATAAGTATTTTTCCGGGGGCACAGCAGTACTCAGCCATACTGAGGAGGTTCAGTAAGTACTTCGGGGATAGTCAACCATGCTGAGGAGGTCGAGTATTTCAAAACTACTCATGCGTACTCAACAGTTTGAGTAAGTATTTCAAATATACCCATCAATACTCACGAGGTTGAGTATGTATTTCAAAACTACTCATGCGTACTCAGATACTCGAGTATATTATTCAACCTTGGGTATATCCTTCAGTAAGTATTTCAATAATACTCAACTTCGACTAAATCTTTTGAGTAAGTATTTCAAAACTACTCATGCGTACTCAACAGTTTGAGTAAGTATTTCAAATATACCCATCAATACTCACGAGGTTGAGTATGTATTTCAAAACTACTCATGCGTACTCAGATACTCGAGTATATTATTCAACCTTGGGTATATCCTTCAGTAACTTTTTCATAAATACTCAACTTCGACTAAATCTTTTGAGTAAGTATTTCAAAACTACTCATGCGTACTCAGATACTCGAGTATATTATTCAACCTTGGGTATATCCTTCAGTAACTTTTTCATAAATACTCAACTTCGACTAAATCTTTTGAGTATTTCGAATATCTTCGTCCGTACTCAAACGTGCTCAACCACCGATACGAGTAATACTTACTCAAATTACTCTGAGTACACGTTTAGTAATACCTTGCTAAACATTCCCTTGGAATCCTCGGGATCGATATATACACCGAGAAGATACTGCAGTAATCCTATGTGCCCCTCACCATCCAAAAACTCTTGAAGATTCCGGCCAGCCAGAAGTGCCTCGTTGGCGTCCTTGGGCGGGTTCGGATCGTCCTCAAGTGGTCTCACCACTAAGCAACGCCGAGTGCCCTGACAATTTGGCATCAACAAGGGATGGTAAACGTGTTGGCCACGTCGAAGGCTAGGATGGTGTGTAGCATATCCGCGTACGAAACCATTTTTGGTCACGTTGATCCCCAAGATGTGTCGTGGAGATGAAGAAGTGCCATGCCAAAATGCCCAGTTACTTACCAGCTTCAGAACAAACTTGTCCACCCCGGCTTGCCCTGCCCCATCGTGGTCCATCCAGAGGTAGACCTTGTTGAATCGCTCCAGAAGAGGAAGAACCTCTAGCGGCAGCGAACTTGCGCCGTTTGGCAAGGACACAGCTGGCTTGCCAGTGGCTTGGTACACAGCCATGGCGTCGTACTCTCCCTGCGAAAACGACGACAGCCCAAGTGTTGCTAGGCGATGAGTCTCGCAACCCATCAAAGCAGAAAGAAATCGATTCTCCAATCGATGAACGAAGAGGACTCCACTTCACAAACTACACTGCCCTCTCATGGGTACCTCCGTCAAAACCACTTCCGTGGCGCCATCCGGCACAGTGTGGAGGCCGAAGATCCCCCACCGACCTCCTGCAGGGTCTAGCCTTTGCCACTGCTTGTTTCGAACAGCACGGGCTTTGACGCGGACTGTGACGGCGTCAGGGATGCGCCTGGTACGAGAAGCAAAAAGAGGTCCGCACAAAATCGCCGCGCAAAACAGTTCGGCGAGGAAGTACATATATTCATAAACGAGTGTGTTTCGTGTGAGGACTGCCGACGTAAAGAGTAAGTTCAATACGAAAAAGCAGACCAGCCAGGGGGGACGCAGACCTTACCCTAACCCCAACCTGGCCGATTCTATACTTTATCTGCGTTGACTACTGTCACGCGAGGTTTCATCCATTGAGGGCGTATGTCAGTCGAAAGAAGGTGGCGCAACTACTGCCGATCTAAGCCAGCCAATGGAGGGGAAGTGGGGAAGTAAACCAAGGAGGTCTTTCGACTGTTTGTACAACACCTTCAAAATACGCCAAGCGTAGAATGGCCGCCCGCTCGACGCATGCTGTACTCACGATTTTTCCCCGTACTTGTCCTTGACGAACTTTTCCAAACCCTTGACCTCCTCCGATGGAATATCCTTCTTGTTTACGATCCATGGAAACGTGATGCTTTGAGCTTCGACGTAGCCTGCCTCACTCGGATACCTGAGTTTCGTGCAATTAACACATCAAACCGATGGGATATGGTGAGAAGGAAGAGAACTCCACCTGTAACGTCCATCTTCAAACATGGATACGTTAATGTGCACCAGCAACAGCTATTGGTGTAGATATCTTAAGTTTCACTCTTTGGCCAACCCAGTACCTCCTCTTGCCTACTGACTAGGCTTCGAGGCAACGAGTCGATTTCTGTGATCGGAACCAGATACGATGCGGCACACATCAGAAACTCCGCCATTCACCAACCAAACAAATAGCTCTGCATCGCAGAATCCTCCTCGATAACGAAACTTAGGCAAGCATAGCGAACGGAACACGATAAATAAAAAGCTGATTCGCGTTCCGCCTGCGTGAGCCCGGCTGGTGCTTCCAAGCAAACCGCAAGGTAACAAATCAGACCTTGTGCAAAGCATGGGTATGACAACAGCTACAGAGAGCGAACGGGAAGGAAATGCAACAATAACATGCCGCAGACCTATCCGTCCAGCAACTCTCTCACTTGTAGACAGCGCAGCCAACGCCGTACTTGACCAGCACCTCCTTCTTTATGCCCCGTTGCCCTGGTTCCGTTCCGCTCAGGTAATCCATCACTTGGTCAAAGCGCGGGTTGTGCAAAAGGTTGGACGGATAAGACCGCGCGCGTTGCTCATCTGGTATCGGCCGAAGCCCAGCAGCTCGTTGTTGTGTCACGTGAAACTCTTCGCCACGTGTCCGGCGTGGATTTAGTGTGGTTCGGGTACTGGTTGCACTCCGTGGCATCGCGACTTGGCTCACGAATCGAGCACCGCCACTCCCAGCTCGTCGCTTGAGGTCGTACCACGAGCCTGACGCAGCGCATCGGTGGCACATCCACGCACCCCTGTTGGAATGAAAGCACACACGGCGAAGAAGATGCGCCCACAAGGTTTCAAATTTCAATGTCAGCGGAGGCAGGTTCTTAACAACGCGTCGCACACATGTACATGATGAAACTACGTGCGTTTCCATCCACAGCAGTGTGACCAAACAGACGCATCACGAACACACCTTCCAAGGATGCAATTTTGGACTTTTGGACACCCCAACATTGATAGGGCTGTACACTAGTAGGGGTAGTATGTGTACCGCGGGGTATGCATACTATGTGTACTGCAGTTGTGTACCTACATGAAGTACACGATATCATACTTGTATCGAAATACCACAATCCCAACGCCATTCATCACTCGTCTTGGGAGTCGCTACTCAGCGCGTGGCGGACTAGTGTAGGCCGCTGAAACTCTTGCGCGGACACGACAATCACAGGGACACTGCTGCTGTATCATACGGAGAAAGTACTAATTAATTGTGAAAAACGTAAAAAAAACATGATCTTGGCGCGTCTTCATTAATGGTTACTTACGGGGTTTAACATTTAAGCACACGCAGCGCCCTCCCTCTGGTCTGGCTCTCTTTTGGGAACAAATTCAAATTGAGAAAAACCCACCCATTATTGAGACCTATGTAGAGCTTCCACATGTTATCCGCCTTTCCACCAGTATCATGGCAGAACGGGCACTCTTTGACCACCACCTCGCCGCCCGCCACCCTGAACTCCATGGAGCGCTGGTCCAGAAAAGCGACAACATCAGTTTGTTCGAGCACATGGTGCTTGGACACGAAGGTGCTACTCTGTCTGTAAGTCTCGGCGGATGTTGGCTGGAGCCGTAACCGTGCAGAAGCTGCAGTGCTGCATTTCCATCGACTTGGTTGACATAGTCTGTTGACAACACGGAGCATCATGGTCCTGTGCGGAACAGGCTGCGGGTGGGTGGTATGCTGTGTGCATGTATTGTGTGGATGGAAGTGCCTACAATAGGGGGGCTCCGGTGAGGAAGACCCCCCCCCCCTTTATTTG